TTCAGCGCGAACCGAAGAGTCGGTATACTTTTCCTCCGTATAATCGTCCATCATGAAACGTAAAGTGTGGCGTGCTTCTTCAAACACGTCTTGATCCATGTACCTGGTGGTAATCACACACGAGACTAGAGTGAGAATGAATACTCGGTGTAGTGATGAACGTGTGCTTTCCGTTTATATAATCGCCAGAAATTCGCGTGCATCTTCTCGAACACGGGTCGGATAGCACAGCTATTAACCAGAGACAACAGCGAGTACCTGAAGGCAAGGTCGTCGTATAACCAACGAGGAAACACATGCCGTACGGGAAGGCACTGTTGGGGCCTCTCCCAGCAGCTGTGCTGATGGCTGTGGGCAACACGTTGCAAATACCGATCTTATAGCAGTCGTCAAGGTAAGCAGGTCGATTCAGAGTCTTCTTGATCCGGCTCACATTACGGTTAACGTCGTTCAAAGAGCATTCACCTGAGCAGCGGAGCGTAGTTTATGAGACCCGCATTCAACACACCTCTGAGGAGGAAGGCTGAGGCTAAGGAAAGAGAAGCTCTCGGGTCCACGCCGGCACCGGATCCAACAAGCTGTGATCCGGGCAGGAAGGCGTCCGAGAACATATGATCGAAACTGCGAGGTTGTAGGCGTACATCCTTCGACCTAACAAAGACACCACCAGCTGGGAGAGGTGACCCCTCCATCTCCTCCCGGTACCGTTGGAAGATCGGACTCAGCGCGGGAAGCAAGAAATGCGTGTTGGGGAAGGGCACTAGGTTGGAGGTTATCTCGTTGAGATCAACATTGAGGGAGCCTTCGAATCTCATCGATGCCGTTAAGTCCAACCAACACCTGCAGACCACATGCTAGGGTGGACCATCCGCCGATACTCACCTAGCCACGATCGAGTTCATGTCGTCGAAGGAAGTTTGCTTCTTCGAGAACATCCCTCCCCCGCCCTTCTGTGGGACTCCACTGACCAGCGCAGCAGAGGCGTTGTAGGTGTTCACGATACGAGCAAGTGCATCGTTACCTACTATGAGATTTGCCGCGAGTGGCGATGGGTACTCACTTATGGGTAAAACACAGCTTGCGTTTTCCCTGAGTTTTGTCAGAGACAATATCGCATTATACGGTGAGGTGATGACATCATCCTCGGCATCTATCGTCGGGAAGAGGGCCGACACGAAGCGGTAGGCCTTCGACCCGTACCTGTCCACGCGGTTATGGTTGATAAGAAGGAGTGAGAAACTCACTCGTCCTCAAGCCTCTCGAGAATGTAGGAGCCCAACCCGCTACCGGTGCCCCCACCGAGGGAGTTCACACAGAAGAAGGCTTGAAGGCTATCACATGCCTCCACTGCAAATCGGACCTTCTCCATCACGGAGCCTCCATAAGTCTCGCCGTATCTTATCAGCTGATGAAATTGAAGCACCGCATGAAAAGTACTCACCCGTAGTAGCCGTGAGCCCAGTTATTGCCAGCGCCCGAGACATCAGTCACGCACTGCTGTTGTCGGCAGTCGTTGGGTCGCTTAGGGTCGCGGAAAAGACTGCCGATTTTACTGTTCAAGACCTGGGATGCTCAACTGGCT